GGCACGCTGGGGGTGGGCCCACGGTCATCCAAGGGAAAACTCTATGGTTTTCCCTCGGATGGTCGTGGCCCCGCCCCCAGCATGCCCGGCATCGTCACGTCACTTCCTGGTGACGTGGATGCGGCATACGCGCTCCGTGATCGGCCCGGGAGTCCCCCGCTGTGGAGGAACGAGGAAGGTAACACTTGGCAACCCTCCTGGGAGCGCGTTGCAGGTATGATCACTTCAGCGAAAACCTGGAAGCAACGGTGGAAGTTGCAGGAATCACTGGAAATCCTGTGGTAAAACCATAGAATTTGGGGCAGTTCCTAGAGCGACTGCCGTTGCTTCCAGACTTCCCTTGGAAGTGACATCATCATGCTCATGATGCCAGTGAGTTTTCTATTCACCCCTCTGCTGCTTGGATGCTCCTGATGTTCTTTCTTTTTCTGTTAGCTTATATTTGCGTCAATGTGTTTTAACACTTTGTCGGTTCGCATGTAACGTGTGTACATAGTGTTCGTTTTCCCCCTTAATGTATACAGTATTTATACAGCCAATGTGCCCTAACTATAACTATATTTACTGACACAAACAATTTGAGGAAACGTGAACATTTTACACAAGAAACTCTGCAAGGGGAAACAGAAAATGCATGAAAACAAAGAATCATTTTATTTGCCTACTAATGTGTAAACTGGGAGTGTCTTTTAAAAACACAGAGTGTGGGTGAGGGGAACTAAACTCTGGCCTTCTCTGTTCCTTTTCTCACTGCCCCCCCAGTTTTGGAAGCACATCTTTTTGAGCCCCTGTTATCTCAAAAGATAAGCCTATGCAAACTTTCCGCCTCCCCGCGTAAAACTGACCTGCAATGAATTTAGTGTTTGTTGACTTTGTTGATGTCTCCCCCAACTAAACCGATTAAAACTTGCAATCTTGCTGTTATCTGAATAACTGTTACTCAGTATTTCTCTCTCCCTCTGGGCTTTTCTGCATTCTCGGTTTCCTCGTTTGTAAATTCCCGATTTTTGGGGGGTGGGGTAGTCTTTTCCACATGTGTCCTGCTCCCTCTAGTGGTCGATTCTATATTATGCTGGTTTATGTCTGGCATAAAAAGCCATAGTTTAAATCTCTCTCTCCTTCTGTTTCTCTCTCTCTCACACACACACTCTCTCTCTCTCTCTCTCTCTCTCACACACACACACACACAAACACATAACTTAATAACATATAACTTAATTGCTTTGGAGACATCATGGCTGGGAAGACTCCATGCTAATGCCTGTCATCCACCAGAGCGTATTCTTTCAACTGGAGCCATTGCATCAATTTAATTAGGAAACTACCACGGAGGGGAAAGTGATGGAATTTCTGGGTTACAATGCAACTCACCTGTATGCGGTAGCATCATATAGCCTGCAAGCTCCTCTGCTCCCACAGCCAGTTCTTGCCCACTTCAAGCAGGTCCTGTCTATTACTGCGCCAAAATAAGCCGGGGCTAGAATTCCAGCTGTGAGATATCAGAAAGGAAATGCATCGGCTTGCTTTTCCCAAAGAGCATTCTCAGACCACTGTGGCACAAGTGAGATGAGGACAAGGAGACTTATGTGCCCAAACACACCAACAGAGTGAACATGTACGAACATGTACGAGACCAGAACCTCCATCTGTACATATGACTTAATAGGACCTCCAAACTGTCAACCAGCTCCTTTAGAGTGAGTGAAACCCCATTCACAACAGGCAGTCTCCTGAATCCCGGGCTGGCTGTATTATCAGCTGAAAGCATCACAGTGTGGTCTGGTCTGAATTTTGGTTTGTCAGATTAAATTTTAATATGTTGTTGAAGGCTTTCGTGACCAGAGTTCATTAGTTGTTGTAGATTTTCTGGCCTGTATGGCCGTGGTCTTGGCATTGTTAGTGCCTGACGTTTCGCCAGCAGCTGTGACTGGCATCCTTAGAGGTATAATGCAGAAAGATGGAGTACTCTCTGTGTCAAGGTGAGGAGTAAAATGGTAGGCAGGTAATTTATATCTACTCAGGAAGGTGGGGTAAGGCTGAGTCATTATCTTGTAGGAGTTCCCCAGGCTGTGAACATGCTAATGGAGGAGCTTTCCTGAGGAGGTTCTTTTGCATATGGATTGGCTGTTGGAATGCTAATCTTATCTGTAGTGCTGTTGTAAGATGTAGAGCGTTATCCCCTCCACACCCTTGTTTAGAACATCTATTATATCACCTAACTCAAATGAGAAGGAAAGTTAGATGTCCTCCAGGCCCATAGCCAGGATTTTGTGGTCTGTGGGGGGAAAAAAATTCTGGTGGGGCTGGTGGGGCTGTCATTATTTTTATGTCAGCTCAATTCTATCCCGAAGGCCGACCATCAGCGGTCACCCCTCTCCCTCCCCTCCTGCAAGATTTAAAGGGCCCTTCAGCTGATTGGCAGGCAGCATGTGGCCCACCAATCAGCTGGGGGGCTCCTTAAATCTTGCAGGAGGGAGGGAGAGGGGTGCGCACCATCCTCGCTTCTTCTCAAAAGAGACCAGTTGTGATTCCAGGAGATCTCCAACCACTACATGGAGGTTAGCAACCCTGTGACCCCAAGAGAACAAGAAGAGATTGGATTTATATCCCACCCTTCACCACCCAAAGGAGTCTCAGAGTGGCTTACAATCTCCTTTCCCTTCCCCTCCCCACAACAGACACCCTGTGAGGTAGGAGGGGCTGAGAGAGCTCTTTTGAGAACTGCTCATGAGAGAACAGCTCTGAAAGAACTTGTAACTGACCCAAGGTGACACCAGCAGCTACATGTGGAGGAGTGGGGAATCAAACCCAGTTCTCCCAGATTAGACTCCACACTCTTAACCACTACACCAGTACACATCTTGGGCAATCAGCTGGGAGGATATCATGGTTTAAAATAATCAGAAAGATGTTTCTTACCCAGAGTTCTCACCACAAGCATAAAGACACCAAGTGAAAGTGATTTCAGATCTTCATGGACGCATCTAAAAGACACAAGTTAAATTTAACCTTGCTACTATTATGTTTCTCTAAATTATTGTAAGCTTCTTTCAATGAACTTTAATGGTCATCCACTTGTCTGGGTGGACTGGACATAGTAGTTCTATAGCTGGTGATCCAGTTGCAACAAAGTTTGTAATTTACAGTCACGAGGACACACAGACTAATCTCCACTCACCTTTCCACTAATGCATGCATTGCAATGACCATGGTCATGAAGACTAGCCAATAAAATATGAGCTGGGCCCAACAAAACAAAGATTTTAATAAAAAATATGACTAAAGCCCAAACCCAACAGTTACAAGAAATATCAGGTCTAGAAGCCAAAAAAAAGAGGTGAAATATCTAAGAATAAGGATGTTCCTTGGTAAAAGGCCACTAAAAGGAACTCATACTGGATATAAAGAAAGATTTGGAAAAATGGAAAAACTTACAAATATCCTTGATGGGAAGAATAGCTACAATAAAAACGAATATTTTACCAAGAGTGATCTTTTTATTTCAAACAATTCCAATTCCTCAAAATCAAAAATATTTTAAAGAAGTTGATGAATTGATGTCACAGTTTATATAGCAAAACAAGAAACCAAGAATAAAAATCAAAGCACTACAAGATGCAAAAGAAAGAGCCGGATTTGCATTATTAGATTGGCTTTTATATTATAGAGCAACATCACTGAAGTGGTTAAAAGAATGGATTACATTAGAAAATAACAGATTATAAACGTTAGAGGGACACAAACTATTACTGGGATGGCATGCATTTTTATGCTATGGAAAAGCTGACACAAATACTTTAAACAGCACCTCATCAGAAGATCCTTATTGAAAGCATGGGAAGGAGTTAAAAGACTTTTTAATACTAAAATACCAAAATGGGTTTCACCACTAGAAGCATTTACAACCCCAAACTTATTTCAAAAAAATGCACTGTTAAGATATGAAGTCTTGTTGGCTAACAAAGCTGAATTAAAACCTACAGAAAATCATAAAAAACAAGAATCCAACATAAGTTGGTTGGAAAGAGTTCACATAGAATCAAGATATGTTAAAGAGAAGCAAATAGGTTTCTATTCAAAAATAACAGAAATAGACAAGATATTGTTACATACTGATGAGAAATTGATTATTATATGTAATAATACTAGAAAATAAAACACAACATGAAATAGTTAAAAATTCTATGGTTCAATGGGCACAAAACTTTGGTCATAATATTGATAAATTAGCAAAGTTTTCTCCTGACCTACCAAACAATTGTTGGAAATGTCAAAAAAAGTTGGTTCATTTTTTCATATGTGGTGGACGTGTGATAGAGTTAAAAAATACTAGTCTTGGATTCTTGAACTGTTACAAAAATGTTAAAATGTACTATCTCCCTATATTATAAAACCCTTTTAGAGGTGGCACCCTCCAGAACATTCGACACGCTCTGGAATTGGTTGGTGCCCTGGAGTGTCACTCACAGGGCGTCTGTCTCCACTGGCTGCGTTGCTGTCTCCCTTGCCGTGGTCCCACCCACAGAGGTGGCACCTGGCATCTTGGCCTCACTCTCCTTGCGGTGGGTGGACAGGACAGATGCTCTGGCAGCCAGGGACTGGAGCCCGATCGTGCCACCACCACCACGGTCATCCTCGCCCCAGTGCAAGTCGCCGCCTGCCCTGCACGCAGCTGGATGACAGATGGAACAGGTGCTCCAGTGAAGGGGGGGCCAGCCCGAGCCTGCTGCTGTCGCCCGAGCCTGGCCACAGATGGCCGGCCGGGCATCCATCGAGGTGGACCGGCAGGGAAAGGCCTCTGGCAGCCCCCGCCTCACCTCTCCCCACTTGCCTGCCCAGCAGGGACAGGCCTCCGGAGGCCCCCGCACCAGCTTTCCCCGCTCGCTCACCGAACCGTCTGGGTGGCGACAGGCCTCCAGAGGCCCCCATGTCACCTCTCCCCGCTTGCCTGCCGAGCTGCCTGGGTGGGGACAGGCCTCTGGGAGCCCCTGCACCAGCTTTCCCCACTTGCATGCCGAGCCACCCGGGCAGGAACAGGCCGCCGGAGGCCCCCACTCCACCTCTTCCCCCTCACCTGCTGAGCTGACTGGTCAGGGAAAGGCCTCTGGAGGCCCCTGCACCAGCTTTCCCCACTCACCCGCTGAGCTGCCTGGCCGGGGAAAGCCCTCCAGAGGCCCCCACCCGGGGGCGTGGATGAGGCCTGGCGCCCTGGCCCGCTGGGGCCTCCGCCCACGGTGAGGTTCGGGGAGGGGCTGCAGCCAGGCAGCCTGCCCCCCCGGGGTCTTGAGCAGCAGGGGGAAGACATAAGGGGAGACGCTGCCTGCCGGCCTGCCTACCTAGCGCTCGTTGTCTTTATTGCCACAACGGGCCTTCTTCCTAGTACCTTATATACCAGAACTGTCTTTATTGAATCTAATACCATACAATTGTAAAAAGCAAGATTCCTATCTTATTATACATGTAGTGACAGCTGCAAGAATATTATATGCCAAATATTGGAGGAAAAATAAAGTTCCTTCAAAAGAAGAAATTATAAATAAAATACTTGGAACTGTAGAGATAAATTACCTTTAACCTTGAGAGGACAAAATGAAGGAAACTTTGATAATATATGGTCAAGGTTTTATAAATTGATGGAAATAAACCATATGGACATACAACCGAATTATAAGAAAATATGAACTATATTTTTGGTTATGAGCAAGGATGTATTCAAAAACATATGGTGGAAAAAATATATAATTAGACAATGTATGAGGTAACCAAACAGACAAAACACTTATGTAATTGACAATCCCCGAATTTTTGTATGTATGCTTGTTTGTCTTTTATAAAATAAAAAATTGTTTTTTTAAAAAAGATGGGCTGGGCCTTGTACATTTACAACAGGTTCCTATTGGCTAATATTCATGACATCATTGGTGGTGAACAACATAAATGACCAAGTGTGCTTTGATGGTTGCTACATAAATTACCAACAACTAACATAAGGCTTGTAAAGACCTTGAAGGAACACCACTGCCCATATTTCCCACCTCAAAAAGTTTATAAAATTATGCACAGCGTCGAAAGAGTTGACAAAGAGAACTTTTTCTCCCTCTCCCAAAATAGTCAAGGGCATCCAATGAAGCTGATGGGTAGTAGATCCAGGATGGATAGAAGAAAATACTTCTTTACACAGAGAGTGATTAAAATGTGGAATCCGCTACCGGAGGAAGTACTGATGACCACAAGAATAAACAGCTTTCAAAGGGGATTAGATGGATTCATGGAGGATCAGTGGCTACTAGACATGGTGACTAAAGGGAACTTCCACGTTCAGAGGCAGTTAACCTCTGAATCTCAGTGCCAGGAGGCAACATCAGGGAAAGGCCTCGGCATCTATGTCCTGTTGTTGGACCAGATGAACTAACTGGCCATTGTGTGAGACTGGATGCTGACCTAGATGGACCACTGCTCTGATCCAGCAGGGTTCTTCTTACATTCTTGAGAAAACTCTTGAGATTCTTACAATTGTCCCTAGAGTCTGATGTAGTGGTGGGTGACTATAAAACCAAGAACCTTTTTAAGATGCCATTCCAGTTGTAGAACTCCTTGCTGAAAGCAGTTTTACAAGCACAACCAACCATTAATAGCCTTGGAGATTCAGAAGAACTGGACATTATGCCCAAAGGCCAACAAAGCAGACACCTGTGTCTGAAAGGGCATTCCATACTGAAAAGTCCCTCTTTCTAGCTGGAACCCCTCCACATTTTGAAAATGACACCTCCCACAGAAGGGCCTTTGATATTATTATTAACACTTATTATTATTAACAGTATTAGCACTTGGGCTCACCGCAGGTATACACTCCATGGAGAGCTGCATTCAAATCAATAAGTGTACCAATATGATAGACATAAGGTCTTTGGCTCAGTGGTAGAGCATGTGATTTTCTTTCTGAAGGTCCCAGGTTCAGTCCCTGGCACCTTCCGTTAATGAATTCCAAGTAGCTGGAGTTCGGAAATGCGTTTTTCTGCCAAAGAGTTGCCACCAGCTACAGTAGACAATACTGAGAGAAATGCGTCACTACTCTGATTTGATTGAAGGAACCATCATAGGTAGAAAATTTTATTGTACCTAGCCATGGGCCTTTACAATCCAGACATAACAGAAACATACATACAATGCAGATATGAATATTTAAGATATTTGTTTAAAATTTAATCAACATTGAAATCAGATAATTTCTAAAGACTATTAAACGACGATGTATATCAGCTGTTTACTTTCCTGGCTACCTCAGTTGCTCTTATTTTCCTGGCAGCCAGGGCGTAGTGTCACCCTTCTGGAAATAAAAGAATCCATGTCTGATAGCATGAAACGTAATTTATCAGGATCAGGCAGAAGGTGGAGACCAGATAATATATTAGCAAGAAAATGTTTCCCTTGGTTCTGAGTATAAAGGACAGTTTAAAACACAGTGTGGTAAGTCCTCGATCAAACTTCCACAAATACATATACACTGATCCATGAGTGTGTGTGTGGGTTTTTTTTAAATCACCCAAGTTGGCATTGACTGGAAACATAATGAAGAGAATGCTATTCTGAGATCGTGGGCTGTGATTTCAGTAAAATAGCACACTCTAAAGCAGGGGTGTCAAACATGCAGCCCGGGGGCCAGATGAGGCCCCCGGAGGGCTACTATCAGGCACATAGTGGAACTGGCCATCTCCTGCTTCCAGTTCTGTTGCTGCAGCTGCATCATAGCTTACTTCGCCAGACTCTCTCAATCACTCAGCCATTTCATGTTCTCCCCTGGGTCCTAGACTCAGAACTCTGAGCGTGAGATTTCAGTGGTGATTGTCAATAAATCAAAAGTAGATTTGCAGCTTACAGATACACACCTGAATAGCATACTCAAGTCTGCAACAGCACAGACATTTTGATGCAATAATTCAGAGCAAGAGGTGTCAGTTATCAGATACTGCTAAACAAAATATTGAAAGAATGCCAATGTTTTAAGCATGTTTTTATTTTAAGTAAAAAAAAATCTTTGTGTTTGTGTCCTTTACAAAGTTTATATCTCCGCTACCTGGCATTACATTTTATGACACACATGGCCCGGCCCAACAAGGTCTCATTTATGTCAGATCCGGCCCTCATAACAAATGAGTTCGGCACACCTGCTCTAAAGTGATCTTTTTAAATGGTTTTATACCATGGAGCAAATTTTGAGTGATTTATTTAGAAATTTGTCAGTTAGGGCATTGTCTTTATAAACACATTCCCTCAAATCAGCATTGTTTCCCGAAGGCTGGAGTAAATAATCTGGAATGGTATAATGGAAAACAATGTAATTAAGGAAGGTCAGCCGGGGTTTGTCCAAGAAAACCTCATTGACTCAGATGAGGCGGGTGGCAACCTGAGAGAGGGCCTTATCAGTCATGGCACAAAAACTCTGGAATTTTCTCCCTCGAGAGGTTGCCCTGCCCCCTTTGGTTGCCATCTTCCGCCATCTTCTGTCTGTAGTTCAGCTGGCGATCCCTCTTTCCTGCCACATATTTTAATTGTTGTTATGTGTATTTTAGCTTGGTTTTACTTGTTGTAGTGATGTCTTTTTGCTTGGCTTTTGATTATTTTAAGATTTATTTTTCTATTACATATGTTTTTAATCTGGTAGCTGCGCTGGTGGCCCTCATGAGAGCAGAAAGTTGGGGTTTAAATAAATAAATGTAGGAAACAGTGAATTCGGACTAATAGGAATGGCAAAAAAAAAAGCTGAGGGAAAAGGTTGGGGACGAAGGTTGATTGGTAATGTTGATATTACTTACCTTATCATGATCATGTAAAAAGGAGTCCCTCCCAACGCATAGAAAAAGGAACTTATTAGTTTTATTGCTATGAAATATATAAACTTCCTTGAACATTCATCACTTTTTGGACATTCTCCCAAAACAGCTGAGAAATTTCTCCTCATGAAACCCACATTTTCAATGCAGCTACAATTATGGAAAACCTAGAAGAAGGTAACACAGAGGGTGGGAGAATCATCCTATTAACCATCGTTTGTAAAGGGACAGGGTTTTTGTCATGCCCACACGAATACACCTCCAGCTGCCTGATACTGAATCATGGGGTGATTTCCCACAAGCTCTTTGGCCCGATGGTACATGTCATTTTCACACCAGCTGCTGCACGACCGCATTTTGCCCCGCAGCTTCGTGCAATTTCCCCCGCGTCTACTCAATCCTGTTTTTTGAGGATTGAGTAGACACGGGGAAAATCGCACGAAGCTGCGGGGCAAAATGCGGCCGCGCAGCAGCTTGTGTGAAATTGACACGTACCATCGGGGCAAAAGGGAGGAGTGAGCGCGGAGCAGCGCTTGTGGGAAATCACCCATGGTCACTACCATTTGCTCTGACCCGCAGCAGCTCTCCAGGGTCCGAGGCAGAGGTCTTTCACATCGCCTACCACCTGGATCCTTGTAACTGGAGGTGCCAGGGATTGAACCTGGGACTTTCTGCATGCCAAGCAGAGGCTCTACCACTGAGCCATGGCCCTTTCAGGGCCCAGCTACATGACATGGTGTCCCCACTAACTCACGGATGCTTTATTTTATTTATTTGGATTTATTAATCACCCAATTCCCTACTATTGCAGGGCTTTGGGCGATGTACAGAATCCATAAAACACAATCAGATAAAATCATTAAAACATGAAGAACACATATTTGAAAAAAAGTGGTGAATATTAATCCAATTTGAGACTGCCAGCTACTTCTCAGGTGGGAGGGAAGAGGGCCAAATAAGGTAAACAGCGGGGGGGAGGGGTGAGAAAGGGTGCCAGCCCAAAGAAAACTATCGCCGCCCTCAACCAAAAGCCTGGCGGAACATGTCTGTCTTACAGGCCCTGCGGAATAAGGTTTCAGGGCCCTGATTGTATTTGGCAGAGAGTTCCACCAGGTTGGGACCAGCACCAAAAAGACCCTGGCCCTGTTCAAGGACAGCCAGATAGCCTTAGGGCCGGGGACTACAAGCAAGTTGTTATCTGAAGAGCGTAATGCTCTCCCAGGGACATAATGGAGGAGACGGTCCCGTAGGTACATTGGACCCTGACCGCTCAAGGCCTTATAGGTCAATACCAAAACCTTGAAGAAGAAGAAGAGAAGAGATTGGATTTATACCCTGCCCTTCACTACCCAAAGGTGTCTCAGAGCGGCTCCAAACTCCTTTCCCTTCCCCTCCCCACAACAGACACCCTGTGAGGAAGGTGGGGCTGAGAGAGCTCTGACAGAAACTGCTGTTTTTCAAAAACAGCTCTTATCAGAGCTATCACTTGCCCAAGGTCATCCAGCCAGGTGCAAGTGGAGGAGTGGGGAATCAAACCCGGTTCTCCCAAATTAGAGCCAAGCACTTAACCGCTACACCAAACTGGCTCTTGAACTTGACATGGTATTCTATCATCTAGTTTTGGCCTCAGTCTAGGATTCTCAAACAAACTGGAAGAGACTTTGGCCGTAACCCAATTCAGAGTAATGTGTGTTGAAATCTGTTCACTGTAATGGGGTTAAGCATGCCTAATTCTGACCTGGATTCATTTACTTATTTAGGAAGTGCACACGCCTCCTCTCCAATGACCTGGAGCCATTCGCAAAGTTAAAAAGAATTAAAGGCACAAAAACAACCAAATAAAAACAAAATTATGAATAACCTAATATGTTTGCGGTCACGCTAGAAACAGAGCATAAAAACTGCTTTTAAAAAGAGGTGAAACTCCTCAATGAAAAGCCTGGGTAAAAAAAGAAATGTTTTGGCCTGGCACTGAGCTTTTCCACATTCTGAGTTTCTCTATTGTAAGTTCCTGTTTTTGGGGATGTTCTGTTCAACATGTGTTTGGCTCCCTCTAGTGGTCAAGTCTATATTACACTTATTTATATCCAGCATATCTCCCTACAGATTTAAACTGCTGGTTTTTATGCTGGACATAAACCGGGTAATATCTAATTGAACATTGGAGGGAGCTGAACACATGCAGAACAGATTCCCCTCCCCAAAGAAACAGGAACTTACAAGTGAGGAAACTCAGAATGTGGAAAAGCCCACTCAAAGAACAGCGAGGAGGTGTCAGGCTAGACTAAGGGACGGGGTGCCACCACTGAAAAAGCTCTGTCTTTAATTGTCACCTGCCTCATCTCTGCATTCAGAAGCACAGAGAGCAGGGCTTGGGAAGAGGATCAACGGAAAGACTGGCTAGTACAGGGAACTGTGCTGTTTTCTTTGTAGTAAAAAAAAGAGGGTCCTTACTGTATTTTTCCCAGATCCCATTAAGTCTTTGCATCCAGCAAAACAGGCTGACACATAAGTGATTCCATCCTCTCCGCAGACAGGATCCCACTGGTTTGCACCACAGTTGCAGTCAGAGTTGCAAGCAGAGGATAAAGAACTGGCGTGCTGTGGGACTGGTTGTCTTACAAAGGAAAGTTAGAGATGAGCATTTAGGTTGTTATAGAATCTCACAGTTGTTCTATTTATTTTCTATAACAGGGAGAGACACTGATGTAGACAGACACACATATATAGACAGATATAAGCACCCTATATAAGCACAAGTAGTTTTCTGACATATAAGAAGCCCTTGCCTAGAAAATCTTACCATATAAATTTGACAACAGAGGATAGAGCAAAGAGACAGGAGATGAATGGAGGTGGGAATGTAATGCCTCATTCCACTAAACAGAGGTCAGGCAGACAAGACATCCATAAAATGCAAATGCAGGGCTTTTTTTGTAGAAAAAGCCCAGCAGGAACTCATTAGCATAATAGGCCACACCCAATATCAGAAACTCATTAGCATATTAGGCCACACCCCTGACAGCACAGCTCATTAGCCTATTAGGCCACACCCCCATGCCTTTCCTTGGCTTGCCCGGGTGCCCCGCAGCTGCAGGGCACCCGGACAAGCCAGCCCTTGGACATGCCGGGAAAGTCACGGGAGGCATTTTAATGCTTCCCTGATCCTACCAGCCCCCCCCCTGGCCCACCTGCCTCGGAGTTGCCGGGGGGGGGCACTCTTCAGGCCTTCCCTCTGTAGCCACGCACACACAGAGGTTTTGGCTGTAGTGGGCGTGGCCAGCTCTGAAGCCAGCCGGAACTCCGTTCCTGTGCGTTCCTGCCCAAAAATAGCCCTGTGAAAATGATAGGCTGAGGCGACCTTGATTGGCCTTGGGGCCATGCAGGGAAACAAGTGGGTGGGGCCCTTCACACACCCCATTTGTTTTCGCTTCTCCACTGGTGCTTACCAAGAACTGTCTTGTGGGTGACACTGCCACCACTGCCCCAGTGGCCACTTTATCAACCTCCTTGGTCTCCAGTGGCAACAGACAACTGTCGGTGCATACCTTGCAAGAGGGTCCCCAGAATTTATGCACCCCAGAAAATCCAAGCGCAGCTGTTCCAGATCACCGTAGCTCTTATTGGTAGGCGATATCAACCTCATACAGCCTAACCATCTTTGAAGAGTTTGTTCTGACCCTCAGATACTGGGCTTTCCCACATTCTCATTTTACTGACTGCGACGTTCCTGTTTCTTCGTGTTTCCCCCCCTTGTTCTGCTCATGTTTGGCTCCCTCTAGTGGTTGAGTCAATATTACATCGCTTCCCCCCCCCCCCAGCAATTTAAGGCCTTTTCTGAATCCATATAACTGGGGGCAACAGCAGGCTGAAACCGAGCTGACCACTGAAGGGAGGTAACATAATGCATAATGGGGGGGGGACCCAGAATAAAAAGAAGGTTGTGCAGAATGGGAGAAAAAAACCCTGGATTAAAAAGAAGATTGAATTAGATTTTAGTGAAGAATTGCTTGGAGGACACCACGGTGAACACGGATTAAAAGGGGAGTGCAGAAAGGGCCTAAATCTGCAGGCAGATATGCCAGAAAAAAAAGCTGTGTGATATCGAATCAACCACTAGAGGGAGCAAAACACATGCGGAAAAGGAAAAAAGGACAAAGAAACAGGAATTTAGCAGCGACTAAAATGAAAATGTAGAAAAGCCCAGAGTCTGAGTATAATGCGTCCAGGGGGAATAGATAATTTGTATGTCCATGCCCTAGAATTCACAATTCATGTTGTTTAGGAGGAATTCTCTTAGTTCTTTTTTACCCAGTTTCTCCTGAAACCATTTCTTTTCCCTTTTTAGAAATTTCACTCTACAGATTCTCAGAGGCAAGCAATGTCTTCCCAAACCACAGAGATTTCTGGCAATTCCTAGAGATACCTTCTGACATATCCGAGTTTCCCCCAAAAGTGAAAAAACAGTACATGCCCCCCTAAAATTATCCTGCCACTGCGTGGAGCAGCAGCCAGTAACAGGAGTGGGGGGCAGGGGATCTCCCACTCTGATCGGAGAACTGACAATCCTACTCCTACCTTAAATCTCCCAGCTTCTGAATGTCGCTTGCTTCCCCAATACAGAACCATCTCCAAAAGAAGCTCACATCCATCTCCCCCTCTGTCCTAGGCACGCACACACATACATACCCTTCATAGGGCACTGTTAATCCCGCCACCTTGCGATTCTCACAGTCCATTACTATGTACAGGACTGAAATGAGGAAGGCAATGCCGGATGTTAAGAATGCCATTTTTGTAGCACCAAGTATGCCTAATTTGTATTTTTTCATGATGAACCCTCCTAGGAGCAAACCGAGGCACACCGCTGGTAAGATGATCACACCTGAAATAAGAGAGAGAAGGAAATGTATTTATTTAGACATTTATATCTTACTTCTCTTCCCAACGGGATCCAGTGCTCCAGAGCTCCTGGCAGCCAGACACAACAGTCTGTTCTTCCACTTAAACATACGAAACCCTGCCTTCCAATCGGCCCTCGAGCCTTTATGAAGGGTTCAGCTAGCTAATTTTAATTTCAAATTGAATAAAGCATGCAAATTAACATTTTGCTACAGGAAGGAATGAAGTCTGCATTGTGTAAATCAGGTATACATAACGAAGTTTGGTAATCTGATGGATGAAAAAGATCTTCAAGCTATACATGTTCGACGGTTAAGGAATTAGGGATAGGCATGATAGCTCACAAACATAAGTTCAGTATGAATTTTCGCTGATTCGTAGTTTGCGAACTGAAGAGCCTCCACAAACTTCCATGGATTTCAAGGCAGTTTGTGGCGGTTCATGAAGAGCACAAAGCAGAGGTTTAAATGGCTCCATTTAAACCTGCTTTCTGCTCTTCACAAAAAACAACTGAGCAGCAGGAAGCAGGAAGCTCTCCACCACGCAGTTGTTTTTTTGTGAAGAGTAGAAAGCAGAGGTTTAAATGGCTTGGAGCCATTTAAACCCCCAGCCTTTCTCTTCCCCACAAAAACAGCAGGGAGCAGAAAGCAGGGGTCATGAACTGATACAAACCACTTCAGTTCACGAACCAACCTCTCAGTTTGGCCATGAACTACAAACCAAATGGAACCGCAAAACTGCAGTTCGTGCCCATCCCTAGTGGGGATCCCCAATGTGGTGCTCATGGGCACCATGGCACTTGACACTGATTGGCCACTGGAGATTTGATTGGCTGTGCAGATTTTTTTTTTTAAAAAAAAACAACAATATTGCTTTGGCTGCCACCACCACCACAGCACAAGGATCTGTACTATGTGACTAAAAGTAAGCTGTGTGTAAGGAAGAAAATGTTTTTCAACAATATATTATTTAAAAAGGCCTCCTTCTGCCTGAAATGTTGAAGAGTCACCATTAGAATTACACATAACTTCACTCCCTGACATTTTGTGCCTGGCTCTGCCTCCTGTGGCAGCCATTTTGTGATTTTGCCCACCACCCTCTGTCAGAATTTCAAAGCTGCTCATGGGCTCAAAACAGTTGAGGACCCCAGCTTTAAAACATACCCACTGGCGGGCTCTCCCCCTTCAGAAGGTGCTGAGGGGGAACGGGGTTGGGGATTAGAAACGATCTATTTATCATAACCAAGGTTTTTTAAAAAGAAAAAATCTTGCAAAATGGGACTAGCCCCAGCTACCACTTAGGGTTCTGCAAACTTGAAAGGGTGTAGGTTTGCGTCTGGACATAAATAAAATAATTAATTGTGGTTTAACCCACCCCTCCAAAACAAACAAACACCTGAGCATTGCCAAAATAACATAACAGACTTGTTAAGAAACAAGCACTAAGACAAGGTTTCCAAGTGGTCTCCAGCCCAGCCTCCAGTGCAGATCTTTTAAAGAAACGTTACTACCACCATTAAACAGCAAACTTACACAGAACAGCAACTAGAAACAATACAGAACCAACGCAAACAGTTTATGTACCATAGCACCACCCACTGGTAGGATGGTTTTATAACAATTACAACTCTCCGCCCCTCTCTGCTATAGCAATATTCCAGTCAGGGAGAAATTATGGAGAAGTGAGAAGCACAGAAACAGAATGAATATTGGACAATGTCAGGTGGATGCTCCCGAAAATGAAGCTTCAGTAAGGAAGTCAAGGTGGAATGAAACATCCATGCAGTACCCTGTCTTAGGGCGATTCTGCATCTAGCATTTACTCCATATTTTCCCAACTGGGAGGAAAAGGGGAGCTCAAAACCACATTCAGATACCTCAAGGCAATGCCATACTGACTGCAAAGTCACCCCTGAATGGCCATAAAACAGTCATAAATCTATGCAGAAGGCACAATAAAATCTGATGATCAAAGAACATGAAAGCGGCATGGAGTGTGGAGGCTACCATTAAAATCCGATGGTCAAAGGAAGTGAAAGCAGCATGCAAAGCGGAGGGGAATTTCTGTTCCAGCGTGGGTTTCATAAAACAATGGAGGGGAAAGCCAATGCAGTATCAGCCTTAGTGTGGCCAAGCATGGTCACTTAATTTTAAGAAACCACCGCCCTACATGATTCACCTGGTGGATCTTATCAATTAAGTTGGGTTTGGAGCCCCTTGGGAACCCCAGGTCAAACCACAACATACAAACGAAGAAGAAGAGGAGGAGGAGGAGATTGGATTTATACCCCACCCTTCACTACCCAAAGGAGTCTCAGAGCGGCTTACAAACTCCTTTCCCTTCCCTTCCCCTCCCCACAACAGATACCCTGTGCGATAGGTGGAGCTGAGAGAGCTCTTTCAAGAACTGTCCTTGAGAGAACAGCTCTGCCGGAACTATGGCTTGCCCAAGGTCATCCAGCAGCTGCAAGTGGAGGAGTGGGGAATCAAACCCAGTTCTCCCAGATTCAAGTCCATGCTCTCAACTTCGACACCAAAAGCTTTGTCCACTATAGGAAAAGCTTTGTCCTCCAGCACTTGATTATCCAGAATGCTCTGTTAACTAGTGTTGCCTAGGGGACAAGTGCCTCCTTCTCAGCCACCATACCACTATGTCTTTTGAGTACAGACGCGCCCCACCTTTGCCTCGCTACCCATCCACCTTGATGACTCCGGCTATGCTGCTGACAGCAGGACCGACAGCCGATGTAATCTTTGAGAGGACCCTCTCATTCCTCAGAATTCACTGCCAGAGGACGTAGAGATGGCCACGGGAATAAAACAGCTATAAAGGGGGATTAGATGGATTCATGGAGGATAAGTCACTGGCTGCGGTCACACGAGCAGTGTGATCTGATATCGTTGTAGTGCCCTTGCGGATTTAACGAGCACGATCAGACAGTGACATTGTCGTTCCATGCCCCAGTTATCCCCACCCCATTCTGCCCCGTTCTTTGAAGCAGGGTTAAAGGACATCAGGGCAGTTCCGATCTTAACGGATGCCAGCACTTTCACCCTGCATTTCCAGCTGTCTGAACCCCCAGTTCTGAAGTCAAGCCAGTTGGGACGTCTAAACTTTCCCTTCCGTTTTCACCTCCCTTTTTAATAATAATAATAATAATAATCAGGTAGCTATGTGCGCATAAGTGCATAATCGCCCCTGGCATAGTCAGCCAGTTTGGTGTCGTGGTTAAGTGCGCAGACTCTAATCTGGGAGAACCGGGTTTGATTCCCCACTCCTCCACTTGTACCTGGCTGGATGCCCTTGGGCAAGCCGTAGTTCTGATAAGAGCTGTTCTTGAAAAAGAGCAGTTTCTGTCAGAGCTCTCTCAGCCCCACCTACCTCACAGGGTGTCTGTTGTGGGGAGGGGAAGGGAAAGGAGTTTGTAAGCCCCTCTGAGACACCTTTGGGTAGTGAAGGGCGGGGTAT